AGACTCTGTACAGCCCAGTCCAGGCAGAAGAGTTACGCGGACAGGAAGGTTCGTGATGTTTCATATATGGTTGGTGAGCGGGTTCTGCTTCGGGTCTCGCCTATGAAGGGCGTCATGAGGTTTGGAAAGAAAGGGAAGCTGAGTCCGAGGTTTATTGGCCCTTTTGAGATCTTGAGGCGAGTTGGGGAGGTTGCTTATGAGCTTGCCTTACCTCCCAGCTTGGCCGGAGTTCATCCGGTATTTCATGTTTCGATGCTCTGGAGGTATCACGGTGATCCGTCGCACGTGTTGGATTTCAGTTCAGTCCAGTTGGACAAGGATCTATCCTATGTTGAGGAGCCAGTGGCTATTTTGGACAGGCAGATCAGAAAGTTGAGGTCAAAGAACATAGCTTCAGTGAAGGTTCAGTGGCGGGGTCAGCCGGCCGAGGAGGCGACTTGGGAGACCGAGCAGAATATGCGCAGCCAGTACCCTCATCTTTTCACTACTTCAGGTATGTTCTCTATGCTCGTTCGAGGACGAACGAATGTTTAAGTGTAGGAGGATGTAACGACCCGGCCGGTCGTTTTTGGAATTTACGCCCCGATTCCCCATTTACCGCTTCCCCTAAGTTCATTTCTGCTATTTTGGTATGCCGGGACGTTCGGTGTTGGGTTTCGGAGAGTTTTGGGACACTTAGTCCCTAAACGAGAGCTTAAGTGTTAAAAAATGGTCCGTAGTCAGAACAGTGTGAAGAAGACCTCGGAATGGAAATCCGATGGTTCCGTTAGCTCCGTTAGGTGATTTCGGGGTTGGGAGCGTGGTTGGAATGTATTTTTGGAAGTCCGTAGCTCATTTAGGCTTGAAATGCCGAAGGTTGAATTTTTTTGAAGTTTCCGATCAGATAGTGAATTTTTGATCCGAGGGCCGGAATGGAATTCCGGAAGTTGCAGTAGCTCCTTCGTGTTATTTGGGATGTGTGTGCAAAATTTCAGGTCATTCGGACGTGTTTTGGTTAGGTTTTTGATCAAAAATGTATTTTTATGGAATTTGAAGTTCTTAGGCTCAAATCATTGATTAATTCGACTTTCCGATGTTGTTTTAGGTGGTTTAAGGATTGGTACAAGTTTGAATGAGGTATTAGGTGCTATTGGTTCTTTTGGTTGAGGTCCCGGGGGCCTCGGGACGATTTCGGGTGGTTAACGGAAGAATTTTTGAAGTGTTGCAGCAGCTGGTTTTTCTCTCTTCTGGTATTTTCGCTTCTGCGGCTTGGGAACCGCAGAAGCGGAGCCGCAAAAGCGGCCTGGTCATCGCAGGAGCGGGTTTGGTCAGAGTTTTTCAGGTACCGCTGATGCGGAGGAAATTCCACAGGAGCGGCCTCGCATCTGCGAGAAAGAGAACTGCAGATGCGGAAACTTGGACTTTTATTAGAACCGCAGAAGCGGCTTAAATTCCGCAGAAGCGGAACCGCATAAGCGGTTAATGGTCCGCAGAAGCGGACATTGGCTCTTTAGTGAGAGTCGCAGAAGCGACTCACTTTCCGCATAAGCGGGACCGCAGAAGCGGTCCCTTGTCCGCAGAAGCGGAAATGCCTGTTCTGATATAGAAAATTCGAGGGTTTGATTTCATAAGTTAGAAAAAACCAAATTGAGCTCGGGCAAGGGCGATTTTTAGAGGGTTTTGAAGAGAAGACTATTGGGTAATGTTTCTTTAATTCCTTCTAGTTATATTTCATCATTTTGTAGTTAAATCCATCCTTTAAATTCGAATTTAGGATAAAAAATTTAAAGAAATTGGGCACAACTTCATAGGCTAAACCATTAAGTTTTGAGTGAGCATTTGACCTCCGATTTGGGAGATTTTTATATGTTTAGACTCGTGAGAGTACGAGGTTTCCGAAAATGTGAAAAATTATATGATTCCGAGGCGTTGGCCTGAAGGGCATTTTGGTCATTTCACCTAATTTCACGCCGTAGCTTTGAATTAAATAGCAAAACCAATTGTTTGCGATGTTATTTATGATATGTAAATGTATTGAATAGATTTGGGCCATTTGGAGTCGGATACTCGTGGCAAAGGCGTGGTTTCTAGTTGATTTTGAGCCGGTTCGAGGTAAGTGGCTTGTCTAACCTTGTGTGGGGGACCTTTCCCCTTAGGATTTGATATGTGGTAATTGAGTGCTTTGTACGTGAGGTGACGAGCGCGTACTTGAGCTAATTGTTGAAAAAACCCGGTACTTAAGATATTGAGACTGAGTTTCCTTCATATTTGCCTTGTTTTACTTGTAGCTATAACATGTGTTAGATTAGAAAAGCACGTTTAGTTGATTTAACTTGCCTAATTGTTTAAGTTGCCTTGACTGTACTACGTGAAGCATGCTAGGCTAGTACTACCCGATGTTTGCCTTTTGCACTTCATTTCTGAATATCTTCTGGTTGTGGTTGCGCATTTACATTGGGACTACGGATGTGGGATTCCGGTAGCTCCCCCCTCCCTTGTTTGTTTACTTTGGGACTGCGGGTTCGATTCCCGATAGATCCCCCTGCACATTTACTTTGGGACTGCGGATTCGATTCCCGATAGATCCCCCTGCACTTTTACTTTTGGATTGCGGGTTCGATTCCCGATAGACCCCCCTGCACATTGATGGTTGGACTACGGGACGGTATCCCGGAAGATCCTTCGGATGCACACATAGGATGGACTACGGGGCGGTATCCCGGGAGATCCACTGGTCAGTTGAGAAAAAGGGGCTACAGGACGGTATCCTAGGAGACCCTCATTTTACCATTGGTATTGAGTTGTGTTTACTCTGTGTTTATTCTGTACCCGTGTAGTTGTTATAGTCTCGTGATTTGTCCTATCTCACTGTTGTACTTATTATATCTGTCAGATTTTTATACTGTTAAATTATTATTATTATTATATTTTGTCTCAGTAGGGCCCTGACCTTCCTCGTCACTACCCAACCGAGGTTAGGCTTGGCACTTACTGAGTACCGCTATGGTGTACTCATGCCCTTCCTGCGCATGTTTTTCATGTGCAGATCATTCAGGTACCTGCCCTCAGGTGCACTATCAGTGAGGCAGGAGGACTATGCAGACTTCGAGGTAGATCTGCTGCGTCCGCAGACCGACGAGTCTCCCTCTTATTCCATCTTTAGTACTTAGTTTTTCCTTCTTTCGGTTGTTAGAAATTCTGGAGTTTGGAACCTTTACTATACACTTCTGTAGCCTGTGTTGACCGTGAGTTTCCGGGTTTTGGGAATTGTTTTAGACTTGTGATATTGAGTTGTACTTGCCAAGCGGCATTCAGTACAGTTTCTTTTAGATATTTGATTTGATTTTTCTCTATTTTTCTTTCCGCAATTAATATACTTCCGCAAATGTTAGGATTACCTGGTCATGGGGACCAGGTGCCGTCATGACATGTTCACGGTTGGTGAACTAGGGTTGTGACAATTCAAATTATGCAATTTATAAGAAATTTGCATTTTAAATATGTTATGAAGTTTGTGAGCAAATATGACATACAGTTAAGTCATTTGTAGGTGTATCAGGACTATATTTCTTTATCAATTGCTCCTCATCCGTAAGCTTAACAACACTATAAACTTCCTTTTGTAGTTGAATGTTCTCGCTCTTGACAATAACCTTAAACATGAGTTTTCTTTGGAGAACATTGTTCAGCTCTACTGGATACGGAAACCTATCAACACCTCCAGTATTCTAGAATGAAAATTTGCGTTAGAGTTTTTAAAAAAAGAAATATGAATATAATTAGTTGATATACCTCAAGAAATCCTTCCTTCAATTCTTTTGCGGATTTGCCTATGAGAAACATGGCTTCGCGGTCTCAAAGCAATAGGGAAACAGATCCAGTAGCATCCATTACCCTAACCTGAAGCTTGTACCTAATTGCACAGGAAACATTTGAGATATAAATGTACATTTTTTATGGATTAAGGAAATAGAGTTGCTGCTTTTACCTAATAACTGCTGAGTAATCTTCATTTTTACATTTGGAGTTTGGGCATTGAAAAATGTTTCCTACTTTATCCACCTTCTTTTGACACTTCTTGCAGCTAACATACGACCATCCTTTTCCAAGTTCTAAATTTTCTATACTTGCGACAATCCAACAGGGACCTTCCTGTTTAATAAAATGATTAAACTTTAGATCGTGACGTATAAAGAGAGCGTATATGTGCAAATCAAAACTAATAATATATAATTTTCATATTTTATATTACAAAAATTAAAATTGTCAACCAATATGTCATCTGAGAGGTGAAGATATAAAGTATGACATCTATACATTAGCATGGACTAAATGCTTAAGAAAATTGGAATATATTGTCTGTAAAATGGGAGGGGAAGATTTCATAAAATGTGGGGCAGGGGCAGACCAACCTATACTATATGTTTGTGTTTCCATCTAGTAATGATCGTATAGTCATAATATTTTAACTTTTTCATGAAAGATCTCTTTAATTTATAGCAAATATACATTATATTTGTGTTCTTATGGAATATCATGTATCCAATTCAGTGATAATAAATAAGTTTGAAGTACATTATCAATATGATAAGATTGGTTACTATATTTCCCTGACATGTGTTAGAAATATTTAACGACAATTTAATGCACTAAAATAGGAGAAGCAAAGGCTGAAATATAAGAAGAAAAAAAATAGAAAAGATGGTCTTCTGAAAATTCAAAGAAAGAAGATAAAAAGAGTTAACTCACTTGCATGGACTCCACTAATTGGGCAATTGTTTTAACTTCAGCAATGCCCTTCTCTAACTCATCCGAAATAGAGTAACTTTGTTTAGAGATGGTTTGAGTCAGCCTCTCAGAGCAACTATCCCGAACAACATTTAATCTATATTTATAAATCAGGATTACAGTTAGAACTATACATCAAAAGATAGATATGAGGGTAGATACATGATTAAAATATATTTAACCGTGATTTAAACTCGTCAGATTGAGAAAATGTAGGATTAATCCCCAACTTTGATGTATTCCAAGTGTTGCGCACAGAATATGAATCTGCAAAAAAGAATTATTTGTTACATGTAATGAATAATTTTCACAAAGTAATGTCAAATTTAATAGTTACATGTTACCTTGAAATTTATGGGCTTTTATGAGCTGCATAACAACAATAATAGGCTGGTTGTTAGAACTTAAAAGGTGAGGTATAACTTGATCAACAAATTCGCCCCAGAATGTAGCAGATAACTTGTTCCTCCTGTCAAATAGAAATAGTGTATAATGTTTAATATATATATTTATCAAATCTATCATTAATCCATGGTTGTCTGTTTATTCTTACTCATCATCTTCTAGTTCGATATCCATATACTTCCTAGTAATTTCACCTTATTTTTGCGTTTGTACCTCACTAAAATTGATAATTTCTCCGATAACATCTAAAGAAAAAAAAGATGTTAAAATAAGTAGCATCAATCTATTAAAAAAAAAGATGTAAAAATAAATTAAAGTAAACAAAAATATTACCAAATAATTCACTCTCGTTGACATCAACTTTATTTATCAATTGATGATATGGTCGCAGATCAAAGATATTCATTGGAAAAAGTGGATCAATTATTTCAGCCACTGTTGTCCGTTGAGTAAACGTCAGCATCAATCTATGTTTTGTGGTGTTGAACCTCTCCTTGTTTTGGCAAACGATAAAGTTCGCCATAAGATATAATCCAAGCTCATTAATTTTTGTGTTGAAAATATGCAAAACAGACTTGCCAATAGAAGCATGTATACGATCGCCCTACAAAGAAATTACAATAAATAAAAGATATTACAAATTTTTATAGTAATAGTATTTATATTAACTATAGTTTTAAACAGTAGAGTTAAACAAATTAATTAGTGACAGTAATAGAGGAAAAAATGCAGATTTGCAAGTCATGCAAATTCTACTAAAATAGAAGTTCCAAAGACAAATCCTTCTCAATCTAATAGTAGAAGTTTTATTGAATCAAAGCATTCATAAGCTTTTCAGTGAATACTACTTGGTTTGAGCCTTTTACTATCGACTGCCAGTTTGTCCTAGATGGTTAGGGCTTATCTGGTATAACCTGGTAGTCCTTACATGTAACTGTGTCACTTATCCAAGGATGAATGAAGTCTACTTGGCTGTAATTACATTTACATTAAAACATCCTCAAGTGTGGTTCCCCCTTTTAAAAAGGTGTTAGGTTAAACTAAATTATAAGCTAGAACAAATACTAATATGGTCTTCTTTCCTTCAATATGATTCCATAACCATGTCTCTCATGTACAAATAATAAATTGCGTGCATTTGTCAAAGGGAAAACAACAACTACAAATTATCCACAGGTATACGGAATAGAAGGCCGAGCATTGGCAATAAACTTGTTTTACACTTACAACTAAACCAAATATTCATATAAGAATGTGGAAGAGCAAAATAAATCTATGTATATTGATATTTAAATTTCGAAGAGCAAAAAGGAATTAGCAAGGCAATAACATATTAAAAATACCTTTTCATCTTGTAGAACCAATTCAATCGAGAATATAGAGCCAGGATTAAAACGATCCGGTTTTTCCCACATACTGACAACCCAAACTTTCAACTTCCATTGCATCTTTGAAATTGTTATATCCTTGATGAAATCAATGTTAGCGGCCATCTTTTGGCTAATCCGTAAGTTTTGTTGAAATCTTGGTAGAAGAACGAACATTAGAATTGAAGCAGGTGTAGGTATGGAAGAAATATATATTTTGAGGTTTGAGCAGTTGTACCCAGTATAGTAAATCGTGGGTTAGACAGTTCAGCATATCGTGAATTTGCAGAGACAATTTAGGGTTAATTGAAGGTAAAATTTGTTAACCTAATTTTGTGGAGTAAAACGTTTTCCCACACGTTCCTTTAATAATAATTAAAATAAATATAAATTCAGATATATGAAGGAAAGTTTGAACTTCCCAACCCACGTTCATTTAATGATTTTAAAAAATTTGAAATTAAGAAATTCGAGAAGAAGGTTTAGCGTTTCTGATATGAACGGTGTTGGAAGCAATATTTCAAAAAAATTTCACTAAATAACCTCTATCTACAATCCTATTCAAAGTAAAATTGTACTTCCTAAGTGTACTTCCTAATATGTAGGAGCAATGTCTTAATGTGCCATGTGTCGTGATAGGATTTTGCCATTTGGCTTCATGAGAGGCTTTTATCCCCTGCTTTTAATTATATATAGATATACATATATGTATAACATGTATAAATTTGAATATTTAGGCTAGCACTCGTGATTAGTTTTTATTGATAAGCCAAAAATGAAAAAAAGCCCTAAAAATGACCCTTGTTTCTTTTTTTTTTCCCGACCGGTATTCGGCAGTTGTATCAGGATTCGACTATATTTGAATTTACGTCGGAAAATCTCACATTGGGGGTAGAGCGCTTCTTAATAAAGACTAGAATCTCATACTCTAATTAAGGATAAATGAGTATTTATTACTATCCCAGTCAAATTCCAAAAATAACCTAGTTGACATTAATTACTGTATGACTAGGAAAGTGCAAATTCTGAATGTCTATGCGAATTCAATAGATGCATGGCATGCAAATATATTTTTCTCACTTGATCACGATTAATTAATATATTTTTTTACTTTATTGAATCACTTAACCACGCTAATTTGATATAATCAATACGATTATACGAACAATCTCTTTGAATGTCAATTTCTCTTATAGGTTAATGTGAGGTATATTACTTATTACAAAAGAAGTAACATCTCGAGTTTGTTTTCTAAATGGGGTCAGATTTTCTTTTTTAAGAAATTAGACACATGTTATGAATTCTTTGCTTTCCCATATTGATAGTAATGAATCATTGGTATGTTGTCTTGACAGAGTAATTTGCAATTAATTTTGAAACACATGGAACTTGTTATTAGAGCCTTTAATATATGAATTATGATTAATAATCTATCTATATAGAATAGGAGAAGCAAAGCCATATTATTGTGCCAAGTGTCACAACCAAATATCAATATGTGTAAAGTTTTAGGACCAACCTCCAATAAATTTGGAGATTCAAAAAAACTTAAAATAAGAAAAAAACTTACAAAATTTATTCACATCATGGAGTCCACGTTTTTGGGCATTTATTTATTGAAACTGAAAACTAAAAAAAATTACAACTACTCCAATTCCAAAAAATAGACTCCTATATTTTTTTTAGTTTTTAATTTATTATAAACCTAAATTGGCCAAAAAAATTTATACAAATTTTTTACATAGAGATAGGAAAAAAGAAAAACTAAAACGCTTCACGAGCGTCTAATCAGTTCAAAAAGAATTGACACCCACGTTGTTTTATTAGTTTTTTATTTAGTTTATTAAAACCTGAAAATTTGACAAAAAATAGAAAATTTTACAAACAGGAAGGAAAAAAAAGAAAAAAAAACTCCACGATCCCAAATACTCCACGATCGTCTTTGCAAACGTGGGTATCAAAACCTAACTCCATAACTTAAAATTTTTTTCCTACACTGATATTGTCCGAAACTTCTGCTCCTCCTTTTATTTTATTTTCCGTTCCCTTTTTTTTTGCTCAAAATACACAACTTTACAAATATGGTTACAACACTTCATAAAATCAGTCAAATTTCAAGCAACTCAACAGAATCTCAAAGTTAGAGCCTTCGAATGTGAGAAATTCCGGATCGTTTCAAGCCTGAAATACCAAATTTCATAGAGTTGATTTTACAAGATGCAAAGGTAACATATTCAACTTTACATAGTTTTAAAGTTTCTCTTCTTTGCTGGTTTAATGGATATATTTTCCACAATAAATTGTATTAATTAAACGATTATGTGTAGAACCGGTATTCTATTTCTGTTTCTGAAAGTTTATCATCTGAAAGTTTTTTTTTTATTTCTTTAGGATGAGCATACAGAAGTTTTGCTTATATATGAAACAATTTTGTGTAGTACAAATATTACTCTATCTATTTCTTAAAGTTGGATTCACAATTGTGTTTACAAGACAACAAATTAAAAACTAGGACATCATTCTGAGGCTGACATTAAAACAGATGATAATTTCCAAGGACACATCTAGGACAATAATTCTCATTTCAAATATATATATATATATATATATATATATGTAAGTGTGTTTTATCTTCTTTTATTTAATTAAAAAAAGGGGTTAAGAAAAGTTAATGAAATATATATAAAGTTAAAAAAAAAAAACCCTAACCNACCTTGAAATTTATGGGCTTTTATGAGCTGCATAACAACAATAATAGGCTGGTTGTTAGAACTTAAAAGGTGAGGTATAACTTGATCAACAAATTCGCCCCAGAATGTAGCAGATAACTTGTTCCTCCTGTCAAATAGAAATAGTGTATAATGTTTAATATATGTATTTATCAAATCTATCATTAATCCATGGTTGTCTGTTTATTCTTACTCATCATCTTCTAGTTCGATATCCATATACTTCCTAGTAATTTCACCTTATTTTTGCGTTTGTACCTCACTAAAATTGATAATTTCTCCGATACATCTAAAAGAAAAAAAAAGATAGTTAAAATAAGTAGCATCAATCTATTAAAAAAAAAGATGTAAAAATAAATTAAAGTAAACACAAATATTACCAAATAATTCACTCTCGTTGACATCAACTTTATTTATCAATTGATGATATGGTCGCAGATCAAAGATATTCATTGGAAAAAGTGGATCAATTATTTCAGCCACTGTTGTCCGTTGAGTAAACGTCAGCATCAATCTATGTTTTGTGGTGTTGAACCTCTCCTTGTTTTGGCAAACGATAAAGTTCGCCATAAGATATAATCCAAGCTCATTAATTTTTGTGTTGAAAATATGCAAAACAGACTTGCCAATAGAAGCATGTATACGATCGCCCTACAAAGAAATTACAATAAATAAAAGATATTACAAATTTTTATAGTAATAGTATTTATATTAACTATAGTTTTAAACAGTAGAGTTAAACAAATTAATTAGTGACAGTAATAGAGGAAAAAATGCAGATTTGCAAGTCATGCAAATTCTACTAAAACAGAAGTTCCAAAGACAAATCCTTCTCAATCTAATGGTAGAAGTTTTATTGAATCAAAGCATTCATAAGCTTTTCAGTGAATACTACTTGGTTTGAGCCTTTTACTATCGACTGCCAGTTTGTCCTAGATGGTTAGGGCTTATCTGGTATAACCTGGTAGTCCTTACATGTAACTGTGTCAGTTATCCAAGGATGAATGAAGTCTACTTGGCTGTAATTACATTTACATTAAAACATCCTCAAGTGTGGTTCCCTCTTTTAAAAAGGTGTTAGGTTAA